AGCTTTGAGGAATTCAGTAACTTTAATGTTTTAATGTCAAGCATTAAAACAGATCAGAAAGGAAATTCCAGCTTCTCTCAATTTCATTTTAAGTTTTCTTCAGCACACAACAGTCTTTGAAATCAAGCCTCTGAAACTGTAAAGAAAGATTCTATTGACAAAATAAAAGATGTGAATTAAATTCAAATGTACTTTCACTAGTGCCTTTTAAATAATTAATACAGATTAACCAAAGATTAGGAATGCCAATTTTATTATTTATGTGTAGAAGTTCTTATGGAACTTGCCTTTTTTTTATTTCTGATGAAAACCAAATTATGGCCATCAATGCACATTTGTAAATTCATATCTCTGCTGTTTACATTTATCTGCTGCCTAAACTAGGTATCATCCTGATATTACCCAATAATCCAGACTGAAAGTGGACAATATCATCCATCTGCTGACGCCTGATCAAACTTAAAAGACATTTTGTTCTCAACACTAAACAAGAAATCTCTGACCATCTACAACCAAAACACAGCTTAGCTAGCATGTGCCCGGGTTTCTAATTTAGTCTCTTTTACAATTCAGCTCACGAATATAACTGCATTGAAATAAATTCAAATAAAAATTTAAATTTTAAAAGGACAGATCATTCACTGGTCAAATACACCCATAACAACAGGAGAAAATGTTATTAAGTGGAACACTAAAAAATATTGCTATGCAACTCACAAATTCTCTGGTGCAGATATCCAAAAGCAAAATTAATAATTAGCAACGAAACACAATTTGCTAGTTGGACCACTGAGAACACTTTTTAGTTCCGTTAGAATGACATTTTTGCCTCCATTTCTAGAAGCAGTTTTTGTAAACCACACAAAGCTGCACTCAAGTGAGTTCAAGGCCCTGAAAAGCCACGTAATTGTGTGCCATGACTGTTCCTGTACTTGTGCAGAGAAATCCTGCCCACCCAGAAGACGCACGAAACACCTGGATAGCTCAGACTGCCTCCCACCACAGCGAGCATAGATCAGATCTCTTTGTTTCTCAAACCTGACGTTTTCCTGTGGATGTGCAACAAATCGTATCTGCCACTGTCCCTGATGGTAAATAAGGATTTAAGCATTTAGCTTTGCCAAATACCTATGTCGATGCCTCGTCTCAGGGTTTGCTTCTCAGCATCCCGGTGGCCGATGAGATCCTCCACCCAGTGGATGTAGTTTAGCCTCAAAGGGACTGTGGGAATGAGCCTTTCCACGGGGATATCGATCGTCAGCCCGAAATCCTCCTTCAAGAGGGTGCACGTCAGAGCCCTCACGGCCTCGGGATCCTTGAAATTCAGGCTGAAAGGCACACGCAAAGCTTTCACGGGTGCCCGGGGCCGGACGCACACGGGCACCCACCCGCCCCATCCCGCCCCGGCCATACCTCATCCTGCCCGCGAGGGTGGTCTGCACGTGCTGCTGGAACTCAGGGTACTTGCCAGCCAGGTAGGCGAAATCAGGCGGCTTGTCCTTGTAGCGGTTGCGGGTGTGCATGGACTTGTTGAGGGCCATGTCGGGCCGGGATGTGCCGGGAGCGGCAGGAGCGCGGCGCGGGATCACGGCCACACCCCCGCGCGCCGGCCGGGCCCGCTCCCGGCGCGCACCGCGGCCCCGCGGGCCGTACCAAGGAGCGACGGCCGCGGGGGAGGCAGCCGGGCGCCGCCCCATCGCCCGCCGCCGCGGCGAGGGAGGTGCAACTGCTGAGGCGGAGAAGTCACCACCGCGGTTCCATGGAATCGTGGAATGTCATGGGTTAGAGAGGACTTTAAAGATTATCTAGTCTCAACCCCGCTGCTAAGGGCAGGGATACCTTCCACTGGACCAGGTTGCTCAAAGCCCCATCCAGCCTGGCAGGGTTGCGGCATCCGCAGCTTCCCTGGGCAGCCTGTGTCAGTGCCTCACCACGCTCACAGTGAAGAATTCCTTCCTCGTATCTAGCCTAAATTTCCCCTCTTTCAATTTATTTCTTGTCCTATCACAACAGTGAAGACGAGTCCCTCTCCGGCTTCCTAGTAGCCCCCTTCAGATATTGGAAGCTTGCTGGGAGGTCTTCACAGAACCTCCAGGATGAACAGACCCAATATCCTCAGCCTGTCATCGTACGAGAGGTGCCCCAGTCCTCTCATCAGCCTCGTGGCCTCCTCTGGACTGGCTCCAGCTGTTCCATGTCCTCCTCATGCTGGGACACCAGAGCTGGATCCCGCACAGTTAAAATGTTCTATACACAGGCATCACGCTTCAGCGCTAGATATTCAATGAGTAATGAATAAATGAAATCACATAAACAGTTGCGTTCTTCTGGTGGCTGCTATAAATGCATATTATGTATTGGCTTGTCACAAATATTAGGGTGAATACTGTATGTGTGGTGTTAAAATGGTTTTTAAAATATAGTTTTCTCTAGGAGTAACACAGGCTGATAAAGTGTCTTTGTAGCAAGTGAACTACCTGCTTGGTTGGATAACACCCAGTGAAGACACCTGCTACTGATATACCAGTTACCAGCATCAACCGTCTGTAGAAACTGAAGACCACAGCTCAAATTAAGACTGATAAGAAAAGTAAATTAAAACCACAGCCAAGAAACATACATGCTCTAAAAATGCTGACTCAAGGAGTGGCCATGTAAAACAATTCCTTGAATATGGAAAATAGTTTATAGAAAAGTTTGAAAATGCATGATAGGTCTATGAATATGCAACGGACTGATGAATTTAAGTGGTGTCTCCAAAACAGCAGGAGTGCTTTTGGCTGAATGCCAAGCACCAAGCTGTTATAACCTTTTGCTTTATTATTTGTCTCTTACTCTGTTTTAAAAAATTGTTTTTTAAAATCTACCAAGAAAGTGAACCTCGTTGTTCACAAGGCTCAGAGGCAGCACCATGAGGAGCCTCCACTCTCATCTTCACATATATTACCCACCCAAGTCACATTCATTACCTTGAAGGGTCTTCAGCATTCTCTGAAACACCTCATGGCCATAGATTTCTGTAAAATTCTTGCATAAAGCCACAACCAAGCAGTGGCCTGGGGCCTGCTGCTTGTGGCTTACCTTGTGCCACAAGCTTTGCAACACATGGGTTTTAAATTATGTATTAAACAGTTTGAGATGAGGGAAAAAAATCCCAAGGCTTAGATGTCAAACCTGGAAAAGATTTCTGAGAATTTCCCTACTTCAAGCACTTTCAATATACAGCATATACTTCTAATGATTATCATGCTGTTGTGCTTGTTGAACATAAATTATGAAAGAAAAAGTGTATTACAGTGAGCTTTATACTGTCTCTGATTAAAAAAAAAAACAGCAACAAAATCATCCTCAATTAAAATAGGATGTAGGCATAGTAAAACAAAGCCTCAAACTGGGAATTAAAACTGACTTCAGTTCCTGGCTTTGTCACTGACTGTCAGGAACTTCCAAGTTTCAAGTAGGAAACTTTCAAGTGGAATAGAAGTAGTCTTCCTTATTTAACATGGTGCTTTGGTTCCTCAGACAAAAACATGTAAGATTAACATTAAAGTATAACCTATTATTCTTTTATTTTAAGATATTTTCCTGTTTAAAATGCCAGATACAAATCCAAATGACTCACTGTATATTGTTTAAAAATTCTCTCTAAATGTGCTGGCATTCATATTCTTGAATATCTCAGAAGACCTGCAACTGGATTTCATTTCAGTCCTACTTTCTGCCCTCAGCTAGCTTCTTGTGGAGTAAGGTCAGTAAAGTTTTACTTACCAAAATACATAAAACTTGGGTGTTTTGTTAAAAAAATAAACGAAACCACCAAGCCATCCACTCTTGACACTTCTGTAAGTTATTCCCCTTCCTCTTCCCCCAGCCGCACTCACAGAAAATAAGCTGATATGACCAAAACCAGAACGGAGTTAAAAATATTCACTTTAATTCAGAACATTTAGTGTATTTACAATAGTAAGTTTCTCTCTGGTCAAGGGATTAGAGACTCAAAAAATCCATATTACAGAAAAGTGGTCAATCTGCACCTGGTGCAGGCTGATTGATTTTTTTCTACGTCTGGTTCACCCAGGGTAATTCCAGTGAGAAAGTGATGATGGAGAGAGGCTGGGGCTGGTACTGAACGGGTCCCACAGCCAAGCAGCAATCATAGAACGCAGTCCAGGAAGTAGTGTGAAGTTATTCAACAGTTGCTAAAATATCTATAAAGGCACATACACAGTCCCATTTGCAGTTAGATTCATTGAATCATCCATATTTAGATAAGCAGATAGACACAAGTCTACTGACCCATGTGCAAGCACTGATTTGCAGAGGTGTTCAAGCTACCTATGCTCATGCATTGGTACCAACTCACCCAGGCAGATGCACACACTCCTTGCCACCCTGCACTTGGACGAACACACAGGCAGGTGTTTTGTTAATGCTAATTTAGACGGTTTCTCGATACAGGAAAAAAACTTGAGAAAAAAAGCACCAAACCTCTCATCTGACTTACTGGCTTGGAATCCTTACTCCTCTGGAGCCTGAGGGACATGGTGTGGAAAAGATAATGTCCTCCTGTTTCTGGCAGAGAACCAGTTCTGCATCTCCAGGAGTCTTGCTACAGCAATACCTACTAGTTGCTACTAGTTGGCACCGAGAGGGGGCAATCCTCTCCTGTTCCCATAAATAGGCACATCCTCCCATCACTTGCACTCAATCAGATATAGCAATCAAAAGGCTGCAATATGAGCCACTTCAACTGGTTGATCTCACAGAAAAATAGATCTGCAAGAAGTGAGTACTTTGATATCTGAACAGTCAGCTTAACCAAAGCACCCTACAAGTTAGCCACCACATAATGTGTGGAGCATCTGTTCCAACAACAACTTGTCCATAGAAGCTGATCAATGATCAAGTCACTCAGAGCTCCTATTTGCATCTTGTTCAGAGTCCACACACCACTTCCTTTATGAGGAGCTTTCCCTCCTTGGGAAAGGAGGTGTTGCAGAGGTTTCCAACAAAACCAGCTGACGAGTGTTACAAAGATGGGAAGATACAGGGAAAGAAAGAGAGCTATGATCCCCTCTTAATAGTCAAAGGCAGCTAAAGCAGAAATAGATTAAAGATGGTTGTGGAGGCTGCAAGGTTGAGGAGAGTTCTGGTTTAGCAAAGCTTCTTGAACAGCATCGCTACAGCCACTGAGCTCCATCTGGTTGAGAACACAGCTGATGTGCTCCACAGTGGCAGCACGGCCCATCTGCAGTTTCCATAGTCTGAGCATCTCATACTGGGCATCTCGCAAGCGCCGGTGCTCCAGCTCAATCCGCTCCAGGTCATAGTCACTCAGGCCCAGGCGCCGCACAAACTCCTTCCACCGAGATGGTGGCACCTGATCCACCATAGTGTACAGAATAGCAGGGTCTGTGAAAACAGAGGGAAAACTCTGAGAAGCAAGATTCTTCAACTTCAAGGAGAATGTGAATAATCTAGGGCTGGAGATTGCCTTGGTATCTTGAATTGACCCCTCTTGTTCAAGTCTTCTGCAGTTCTCCAGAGTAATCACACATACTCGTGTGATGTCCAGACTTGCTCTTATCCCCAAAAATGTAATGGGAATGTTTCTATATACTCTTGTATAAGGTTATGAACAGAGTCAAGCACATTTACTTAGGGCCTTGCTGCCATACATTCTTGAAAAAGAATTAATTATTGAAATAATTCTGGGTCACTATCCCAGAGGCATTAAGACTGACAGCATATCAACACATATGACAATCCATTTTGCTAGTAAGGAAAAGGGACAACAAAAAGGCCTTGCACAGATGTTTAGTATATACAGATTCAAAGGCTCTGGGCATGCTTCTGCATTTGTACTGTGCCATGCACAGGGTATACATTCAGTTCACATACACTCAGTAAGGTCTGTCCAGCATACCCCTAGCTGCATCTGCATAATTAGGTTCTTGTTTGACTAGGGAAGGAGAGAAATATGGAGGAGTTTCACTTACTGTCTGGGAGCTGCGTCTTCCTGGCCGGCCTGACGCAGTCTGGTAACTCATGTGAACTCTGTGGTAGAGGTCCAGATGATAGGGTTGCATTTACTGGCAATTCTGTTTCCTTTTGGGGCTCAGGAAGAAGGGTGGAAATTCCATTTCTCTTTTCCTCAACCTGAAAGACACATTACATAGTCCACAACCACCCATATAGCAGCACAGTACACCTGTCTCCTGTAAGTAACCACTAGCTTTATATGCTAAAATTTATCCAAGATAGGTGGGGAGTGGGTGTTGAGATTTTAATTCTTCCTACATGCCTCGTTTCAGCAGAAGATACTAAACATTTCTTTCCATCAGAACCCAAAGAGTTTAACTTTCTTTTGTCACCATAAAACAGTAGTCTGGAAAAAAAAATTATTTACAAAATCAAGTAAGGATGGGACCCAAAATCACCACCATTGTAGAAGTTCCACATGTCACCTTTCCCATCAGCCTCCTGTCTAAGGCTGTGGAAACCCCACCTCAGCTGCTGCCTGGGCCATCTTATTTGCAGAGTTATCTTGGACCTCAGAGCATACTCTCAGAGCATACATGTGAAGCAGCATGGAGAGGCTTGTGGAATCAAGATCTGAAGTGAAGTAAAATTCATTAAATCCTCCAAGCTTAGGGTACACAGAGAGAAAAGGGGATTAAGGACCAACTATCTGGACAAAATGCATCCAGAAAAAAAATAACAAAACTGAAAAAGCCAGGAGTTTGAAAAGCATGCTCTAGAAGAGGGGAAGTAAAGTGTTATTGGCTCCACCCTCTACAGAAAAAGACTTCTGACTTAAACAGCCCTATTACTCAGCTCACTTGAAAATACAAGGTCTGAAAATAGTCCATGGGGAAAAATATTTCTCCAGATCCTAGGCTAACATATTTGAAAGTGGAAGGTAAGCTCTTATAACCATCATCTTGCTCACCTCTGATACCGTCTCCTTGGTTGTCTGTGGTAAAGAAACTTCAAAGAAAGAAAAAAAAAGCAGAAATTATTTTCACTTTCTCTCATTCCAGAGAAAACAGGAAACCTGCTATTCACAATCCTGCCCTCAAAAATGTTTTATAGCAAAATACACATCCCAGAAATAAGCTCATGTGCACTTCCAGTCACAGCTATGGGCCTAGATGCAAAACTGCAACAAGAGCCTTGGCTATTTAGTTCTTATGCCACTCTGGCCTTGCAGCAGAGTAGAGTAAGGGGATCCCACTTTCTCCCTCACTCACATGCACACACGAAACCACATAGAGAAACAGTGTCTATCCCATCAATATCACTGCACATGACACTGTACTCACCACAGGAGTAGAAAGACGACACTGCCCTATTTTTCTGGACCAGCTTCCCTACTTTACATGCAATGCAGAGGATAGAGATAAATCCAAATATTGCAACAAGGATGCCAAGTACAAGGTTTCCATCTGGACAAAAGGAAGAGAGCAAATGCATGAGTGACTAAGAAAGGAGGAGGTAAGTGCTAGAGGAAGGTGAAGATTTGCAATGGTAAAGAGAAAAAGGATAAGGTTTGACAAAGTGGAAAACATAACCCTTTACAAAAGGAATTAGGAGAACACCCCACAATGAAAAGATTCCACTGCCCTTCAGTCCCCTGAGTACTCACTCAGCCCAGATGAAGTCGGTGAGGTAGCAACTGGGCTAGGACACCACAAGCAGTCTTCTCCAGTGCAGCTGAAAGAGCAAATCAGAGGGGTGAGCACACATGCAATGAAACTCTAGCCATTTGCAACCATCCTAATTAACAGACAAGTCCAGGTGAGCCGGCAAAGCAGAGCAATGCAGTGTGACTAGTGACTTTGGGTTCATAGTGGGCTGATGCCTTCTGATGGAGGAGACTGAGGGTGAAGACCTACTTGCCCCAGAAAGGCAATTAGAATTTTGTAAAGTTATGTCTAGATAAAAAGAGTCGTGAGAAGAATTTCTTCCCCCTGTGGTGCTCCTGCTGTCTCTCCTACTCAGTGGTGGGGCATACAGAGTAAAAAAACTCACCTGTTGCAAGGCTTGCAAATATTACTACGTGACAAGAAGAATTGAGGCTTACACCTGCAAATTGCATCTTTGTTCTTTGAACCTGTAGAGCGAAAAAAAAAACAAACCAGAAACTGTTACCATAATCTGGACAGAGAAGAAAACAAAGGGAAAAAAATCCACTCTAAGATGGATGAGAGATTATCCTTTTTAAGCCTGGAAAACTGCTGAAAAACTGGAAAACTGAAGAAGAGAAAGGATTTGATCTACATATAAAAACAGAGCTGGGGAGGATAGAAGTAAAAAAAAAAAAAAAGTGCCACTGTTCTGAAGGTGGGCACCTCTGTAGAGGCTTGGAAAGAATTATAATTACAGAGAAGCTGAAATAAGTATAATGTGCAAAAAGCAGTAAAAGTCACTCAAGTTCAAGTATGACAGGAAGGGGGAACCACATTAGTCAGGCCAAGATGAGGGAGAAGTGGTCCCTCAGCAGCTGGGACTGGTGAGGAAGTCAGTTCCGGGCAGGGAGAAATCACTTCATGTCATGGGACACATACGCGCTCTTCTGATGTCGTGAGCAGAAGAAATGAAAAAACTATCACTTCTAAGCAAGGAGAGAGCCTGAGTAAAACAGGTGTGGGGAGGAGCAGACAAGAGCAGTGATGGAAGGACACCAAATTGCATGAGAGGAGGGGGAAACATACTAGAATAAGGAGTATGCATTCTGTGGCGAGTGAGGGATGTAGAACAGTTCTACATCAGCCAAGAGGGAAGGAAGCTGCTCAAGGCTTAAGTGTGGAAACTGTGACAAGGTGATTGAGCACTAGAGGGAACACATTCACCAGTGAAATAGAAAACCTCACACTGGGCAGGGTAAGAGATGGGAAAGGGATCAGGAGCAGAACATTTTGCAAAGAAGAGGGGATAGCTTTAATACAAGGTAGGGCGGGGGAGCAGCTGGACTGGAAGCATGGCCTGCTGGATGATTAAAGAACAATGACTAAATTAATTATAATTGTATATTTTGTACAGATCATGACCAGCTGAATAAGATGTTCAGAGGGGAGTGTGTGTCTTTGGGCTGGAAGACAGCCACTAAGGAATGTGTATGTGTGGACTTGAAAGACCACTTGACTTGTGAATGGGCAAGGATGTGTGCTGTCTTGTTTGGCTGCACAGTCAGATCTGCCTGTGCAACCCTATAAAAGAGCTAATCAAGGATATAAAGTCAGTTAGTGTCGTATTCAATACTGACTCATGCTTTCTCAGTCATCACCCGTAGGTTTTTACTCCAGTGCTCTGGGCACTATTTGTTGGGTTGTGGTTGTTTTCTCTAAAGAGCTGAGCAGCTAATAGTTGCTATAAAGTTGTTTATTGCAAAGGCACATCAGTCTCAAAAAGGCAAAGAGTCACAAGCATTAACGTCCATGCTAAAGTTTTGGTATAGAGTCCTAAATAGAAGCAAAGTCCCAATTAGAAGTAGAAGCTGCTCCTGTCAAGGTCCTGGGAAGCCAATGTTACTGCTGCAGCTCCTATCTTCTTGGGTGGTGAGGAGAGAAACGAGAAAGTAGGACAAACGCAAAAGGCAAAGCAAAGCAAATCTCTCCCATATGCACAGATTCTTATATACAAACTTCCCAACAAGCTAAAGACACGAACTCAAACCACTTCTTAACCTATTCGAATTCTAGTTTCTTAGCACGCCAGGTTACGTATAAACTACGCATATGGTCCATCTTGTCCTATCTAGAAAATGTAAGCAGTATTCTTACTATAGCTTTATTATGTCTAAAAATATGTTCCTGGAGCCTCCACAGAGACACTAGTATCTAGGACTATGTTTTTCAGCCTTCACTGTAACTTGCTGATTTCTCTCTGAGGAACTCAGAGAGACCTCTGTTTTTTCAGACTCCAACAACATGAAAAGAATACATTAAAGGGACATAGAAAAACTTAGACTACAGACAGCAGTGTTTGTTTAAGATCTCTGATTTCTGACTAGAGATGAGGCACCGTGGGACAGCTAACACAAGTACTTCTCCCAGACACTGGCATCATCCCAAGGTAATGCCCAATGCCACTGAGTATAGTTCAGTATTACTAGCAGCTCTTTCCTTTAGAACACTGCACAGAACACTGTGCTCATTCAGCAACTGACTGACAAGCAGTTCAGCTGAGCACTGGGACCAGAGGTATTTTCATCCATTGTACTCAAAGAGCTTCCAGCAGTTGGTAGGGAAAATGTGGTGAGCATCAGGAGAAAGACAAACAAGGAAGGTAAGGGGAAACCTGCTCTAGAACATAAAGACTTTGCTTCAGGACAGGCAAGGCAGAGGCACCAAAATTAAGTAGGAAGTAGCTCCTCACAACAGCCAAAACCAAGAAACCGTTCAAGCACAAAAGAAAGCAGCTATGGTAAGAAACAGGGATTGATGCCAGAGCAGGCAAAAAATAGCAGTCTTTCTGGGGAAAGAGGGCAGACAAACCCCAGTTGTTCCAAAACTACCATCCTTTCAGTGCAAGGCACTGCAGCATATCAGAAAATCTACCCTACTACAGTACATCTGCACTGGAGCCATAGCCATGCTATACTCACAGCTGGCAATAATCCCATTGGCACAGGAGCTGCAGTTCCTACACTGGAAGAATTCAGACGCGGAATCAATCTGATACTGATTCTTCTGACAGCCACATACAGTATCATGCTGTGGGGTGCAAGGGGTCTCTACTATCTGTTGAAGTTCTGAGGAAAGAAAGGAGAAATTATTACTTCAGCCTCTTCCTTCACCTTCAACTGAGAGCACTGTTATGATGATAGGTATTGTTATCCCCTAATTTTCACAGAAAAAGGCCAGAAAGGCCTGCAAACTGTATCTCAGACTGTACTAATTTGGTCACCCTTATTCCTGCTGCCCCCAGTCACTCCCCATACACTGTCTTACCCATTCAATTGCTTACTTTCCCAAGCTCCCTCGCTCACCTTGCCATCCCCTCCAGCCCTCATCCACCACCATTTTCCTCAGATCCTGCAGATCTGACAGTAATTCACCTGTACGGCAGCGTGTGCACCGGAAGCATTTAGACATGGTGTTATCGACAGCTGTGAATGTGCCATTGGCACACGGAAGACAGACAGTTGCCTGATCAGGCCCATCACAGTCTTTTGCCTTGTAGGTACCTGCAAGAAAATCACTTAACAGAGCTCTGACAGGAAGGCAAATGCATTGTCTAGGGAGGACAGGAGTCACTGGTTCCTCAAAGAAACTCTAGAGCTGATGGCATAAGGACCAATTATGCTTCCTCTCACTGGTATGAATGACACTGACAGCCCATAAGAGGAGAAAAGGAATAAGAATAAATAAAAGGAATAAAAATTTATCTGAGTAGGGATAGGTACCAAGCAAAGGGAGAACTGATTAGCTGTAGGAAAGAGACAGTTTGAGAGTGCAGGACAGGGAAAAGCCTCCAAGGTGAAAGTCACAACTATTGTATTTATTTTGTGTACCTGCATGACACCTCATGCAGCAGTGGGTCTTTCTGGGGTGTAGGTATTGTCCCAGTTGACAGTGCATCTGTTTCTTTTCTCTCCTCAAAGGGTTAGAGGGGTCTCTTCCATCCAAAGCTACCCGACGGACTTGCAGTCTATATGGCAGTGGAGTAATTTCTACAGATTCCTTTGTCAACACACACACGAATATTAGAATAACCTGTAAATAGAGGGAGGGGGGAGAGGGAGGGAGAGGAGAGAAACACGGTGAAAAAACATTATATCCTCCTGCAGACTGCACCTCTGACTTCAGCACTTAGAATTAAATCATATCATGAGTTCAATTTAGTTGGCTAATTCTGGTAATGGGACCCTCCCCTGGCAAATGTGTGTGGCGAGATATTTACAAAAAGAAACCCTAACAAACTGATGACCGCCATCTGTGATATTAATATACCATTCAATGGCCTCTGTGGCAAACTGGTTGTATATAAAACAAATATTTTTCATGATGTGTGTTTTATACATGGAATGCCTTAAAAATGCTGCAGCTTGCATAAAAGTTACACAAGAGCAAAGAAATGTTTTTATTAAGGAAGCCAGTAAGGCTGTCTATGTAGAAACAGTTCCACAGAGAAGAATGCACCCAGTACTTGAAGTTCCACTGAATAAATACACAAGATGGGAAGTTTGGAATAAGATGGCAAAGGAGGATCTCACTGCCTGCAAAGTACAGGAAATCCTCCAAAATGCCTCCTGAGCAAGCCAGAGCTAGAAATGTGGGAAAGTTAGGTTTTTGACTTCTCCCCGTGTCAAATGTACATTCTTCCTCTAAACTGCAGCTGTTAACAATCAGCCCTTACAGTTTGACAAAAAAACACGCATTTTCTTCTTTTTTTAGCTCCGTTAAGATTTAATTTCTTTTTCCCCTTGAAAGTTAGTGTTGTCATCTTAACAGAAATATTAAGATTGGCTGCCATAAGACTGTAAGAGAGTGTGACTTTGTACACCCACATACACATGAACCAAGGGTTAAAAGCACAGTCTGTACCAATAATAAAGGATGCCGTTCCTTGGACACTGTTTTCAGGACACTATTCCCAGCATTAAAATTGAGAAATATACTGTTTATGTAATGGCCAAAAGGTTTCCACTTTGGTAAGACCACAGCATAAGTGACTCATCAGCAAAAGATCCTGTTCCAGAAGGATGGTAAGAAGATTGCAGCATACCACAAACACAACTCCTTTGTCTGTTGGCCCATTAGAAAAACAGACCTCGGGCATGCATTTCAAACATTTAGATAAAGAAAAAAACATACAACAACAAAAAGGTTTTAAAAAACCCAACATAACAAAACCAGGAAAAACTTGGCCCAAGATTTATGAAACCTGAAGTCAGCAAGTTTCTACAGCAAAGACCCATCCCGTACCAACCAATGGGTCCTGAAGAGTATGAAAGGTTTGTCCAAAAACTACTTTATAGTACCATGAAGAAGTCCAGCAGCATGATTAAGACTCGGCAATCTGCATCCCTTGTCATCCTCTTTGCTCACAAGTGATCCTGACCACACCATCTGGACATCCATGTGTGGATGCTTCTGAGTAAGTTACAAGATGTACCAGTGAATTCTATGCATCAGATCATGTGAATGATGAAAATCAACTAATTTTTTTTTGCAAATGAGCACTGCCCTGCCAATATAATCCCAAAGTTTTACTACACTACCTTCCCTCTAATTGTAATGTTTTCCCAACTTGCTTTTTTTTAAATTGTTTTTTTGAAGATGCCCTGCAGTACAGGCACAGCTTCAGAGTTCCTTTGTTGTTGTTTTTTTTTCTTTTTCAGCTAGGAGAGTTATAGCAAAAGCAAAGTAAACCAATAAGGGTAAACCACATTTTGTGGTAGCAAGCTTAACAAAAAATACATAGAATGAAATGGCTATGACTACAGCCCTACACTGTCATGTTTGTCTTTCAGAATTTAAGCCTTGGGGGAGAAAGGTACATATATAAAAGCAACCTAAAACCTCAAGAAGGATGGAGTCTGCAACTTTGAGAAAGCTAAAACATTGTTTTTCAGAGAGCTCTGACATATTCTATAGACCAGATGCTAAAATGGTGGACAGGAAAAAAGAGAACCACATATTTAAATAGATATTATTTCAGACTTAATTAGTTGACCACAGAATAATTGTAAGGACTCCAACAATTCCTCAGCAAAACTAAAAATTGTTTCAGCAGCTGACATTACAAGATTTATTGCTTGCGGGAAAATGGATAAAAGATCCTTCACACAGATGGTCTGACACACAGTAACAATAAAAACTTCCTGATTCTCTAGGTAGTGATTAATCCCTAATAAGAGAATATAAACAGTCGGCCCATAAGTCACACAAGTCAGCAATAGAGAGAAGATGAAAGCATCAAAGATTAAGCCAAAAATACAGAGAAAATTAGTCAGATACACAGTCAAAGCCAAAAGAAAACAGAAGTGCTTTTAATTTTTCAGATTAAGTGAAAGCATGTCTGTAAGTGTCATCAAAGCAGAGTTAACATATTATAGACCACAGTCTGAGGAATAGAGAGTCACAGGCCACAAGTGACACACCCCAATGACTTTATCCAGCAAAATCATTCACATGATGGAAAAAACCCAATACACCACTGTCTTAAGCAGCTCCCCAAGCCATTCAGCAACACACTGATTTATACTAATGAACAACTTGATCAAATTCTGGTAATACATGGAATTAGAATAGTCTGTTCTGCTTCAGATGGAAGGCACATAACTTGTGGTATATGAACTGTGACAACCATGTTACAGCATGGACTATAGAACTGATCAAAATCCTCAGCAAAATCAACCTAAGAGGATATGAATGTGACCACATGGCAACCACTTGGTAGTGAAAGAGTGACCCAATGATAAGTGAGAAGACTCTTTATAGTAATGTTTTGATCCAGACTGTCGCTTGAGGGATAGAGGGTTTAGATCTTAATTTCTTTGTTGGGAGTCCCTTTTTTGAGGCTGGCTTAACCTACCATGTAACACAGCTGATTTTTACCAATAAATCTGTCTGATGGAGATGAGAGCCTGATTTTAAAAAATTCTTTAGCAGTTTTCCCTCCTCTAGACACATTCAAGGATCTTCAAATCTTCAAACTGTGAGGCTCCAAACTGCTTGCCAGCACTCTGGGTGAGGCTGCACCAGTGCTGAGCACAGTGGATGATGATCTCCCCTCTGCCCCACTGTGCTGCCGTGTTTGATTCCCCCAGGACATGGTTTGTGCCCTCTGGGCTGCCCGGGCACACCCTGCTGACCCACTGAGCTGCTGCCCACCAGCACCCCCAGGGCCCTCCCTGCAGGGTGCTCCCTAGACACTCCTCTCCCACTTTATATTTATGCCGGGCAGTAACTCTGTCTCCAGGTTCAGGATCCAGCATTTGGACTTCCAATAATCATTGCTCAATGCTCCAATTTATCTAGAATAAATACATTGAACAGAACTGGCCTTGGAATTGAGCCCTGAGGAACTGCCAGCCAGATTTAGCTCCATTTACCAAGCACTGAAGCCTCAAGTCATTGATAAGAGTTTGCCATGGCAAAGTTTAGAGGTTTTCTGCAAATGAAATAAGCTAAATTTCCACTTTTAGATGTACAGCACAGTCCACTTGCCAGGATAAAAAAAACAGTACCCACTAAGCAACTTCACAGAGACAATGTGTATTACATAAGTCAAGTGACAATTCAAACCACATGTGATGCACACCATTGATTCATACCTACTCACTCATTTCACAGAGTAGGGACTACCCATGGGAAAGAGTCAGCAGAAACTCTAGGGTTTACTTGCGAAACTTCTTTAACTGCTGCAGGAATAACCAAAATATGGCAGAATGCTCTTCCTTAAACATTCCATCCCTCTGGGTGACAGCTGTGTTCCCTGCACATTCTCCTCACACATGAGGCAACCTTCGTTCTTTCCCATGCCTTACACCAGCACTTAAGGCCCAGCACTTCACCTACAAAGCAAAATGGCACAGCACAAGCCCAAAAGCTCTTCTATGCAAGGTTTTGTCAGCTGAGAAGGAGTTAGGAACATTTCCACAATTTTCACACTCAAATATTCTTGAATTACTGCCACCACTACAATTTACACCCTTGTTCTTGCTTCTGCCTCACCAGGCCATGCACAGAGAACTGCAATGAGGTGATATGCCCCTAGAATAAGGCAAAGGAAGAAAGGAAGGGCAAAGATAAAAGTGGAGAACAGAGCAAGATGCCAGAAAGATGGGTGAGAGGGTGGAAATAAGGGACATTTGTGTTTGTGTGGGACAGTGTTCTCAGGACAAAGAGACATAAAGCACAGCACCTGTGCAGCATGTCAGTGCTGTCCCATATCATCACACCTCACAACGCTGGGAAATACCAAATTACTCAGCATGAATGGCTGCAGCCCTGCTGTGACCTGCCAGACTCCTTGCCTGCAGGGAGTAGGGTAGAGGAAGCAGGCATAGTGACACATAGGTAATTTTGCTATCTTTAATATTGTTGCTTCAATATTGCTTGAAAAAACAGTACACCATATTAGTAGTTATAACTATCCATATTGTGCTGTAAATAATTACGAATTATGTCTTTTAGTCTCAGCATTATCACCATCAATGAAATAAATATTTTATTCATATAAATATATTTAGTTTGTCATCCTTAATCCTCAGGGACCAAGTTGCATGAAGATTCCATTGTAATAACTTAATCAACCACTTCTCTCAAAAAAGGCTTCCATTTGCAAATTCCATTTTTAAACTAAGTAACTGCCTGCAAATAAGAGGCATTATGAGTCATTAGAGTGTCGCAAATTATTTTGTAACAGCAAGTTACCTTGGCTTAAGAATCCAGCATGACACACGCCCCATACACAAGTATTCTACATTTGAATTATCAGTTAGCCTTTTTAATGAGTCATAAAAATTAGTCAGCTTGGAGGCTTGGACGAAAACCAGTATCTTGTCCAGACTAATGAGCTACCAAAGAAATCAGGGTACAGGATTTACCATTATGTTCTTTGTCTGGTTCAGCCATTTCCAAAAGCTCTTTGAGGTTTCCATTTGTTTTACTTTGCTGTACAAAGATGAAAGGGAAACCAGAACTTCTGCTTTACACATTAAGAAATGTGCATTAAAGCAACATTTACAGGAAGCTTTTGTCATTGCTCACTAAAATCTAGAAAGGACAAAAGAAGGCTACAAGAACTACTATTATAAATAATCTTCCATTTTATTAAGATCAGATGAAAGAATGCTGTATTTCAGGCCTTGTCTTGTTCAGGGCTGAGTTCGACTGTGCTGCTGTACAGCTTCACATCAGAGTGCAAATGGAGCAAGAGCCATGGGAAGGCTCAGTGGGGTCCTTACTTTTCCATCCTGAAATGATTTTCAGCTGGGCATGAGCCCTTGGCCCCTGCCCACACTGTGCCACACAGGGACCTGCTCATGCCCCTCGTCAGTGACTCACTAGGCGAATTTTTATGCCAGGTTAATTGTCAAATGCCAAGTCCTACTCATTGGAACAGATATATTCCTGTTTGGTTTAATAGAGAAATGTAGTGAGTGTGCTTTGAGATAGGCTTTCCACTGTCAGGTTCCTAAGAGCATAACACAAAGATACGTGTTAGCAAAGGAAGGACTCAGGTATCCAGAGATTAGGAAAGAGAACACAAGGCATCTGCCCCAAATACAAACAAAGCCTCTTTGTGATGACTAAAGAAAATGGGTAAGAAAGAGCAAAATTACAACACTGGGTTTACCCCAAATAATACAGAAAATTGATTACTTAATGAAAAGGGAAAGGCATCCAAACTGACAGTACTGGTTACTTGTGAGAACAAAAATTGCCACATAAGTGTACTTAGCACAGACCCTAATATAAACGTTTCATTTGGCTAGAATTAGTTAATCCTAAAAATAGAAATTAAAATTAGATTAATAAGCAGTAAAAGTTCAATTAGTCTGATTGGAGGAAACAATCAGAAATACAATCAAATGCTATGAATTATTAGGAAAGGATTTGAGAGCAAAACCAAGAGTGTTGTTGTGACAATATATAAAGGATTCAATCTGGACTGTAGTTCTAGTCCCCAGCCTTAAGAATATAAATTAACTCAGATATAATACAAAGAAAAGTAAAAAGGACCATCACTGGTACAGACTGACTGTCACAAAGGCAATGATAAAATATACCCATCTATAAAAGAGAAACCTGAGCCAAGGATACTGTAGCAGGCTCAAAGTCATGAATGCCAAAGAGAAGGTGAACTGGGATGTGTGCTCTCTGTCTCCTCCAATACAAGAACTAAGAGGCATCAAATAAGACAAGCAGTAGAGAGGTTCAAAACAAACACAGGGAGGTACTTTTACAGCTAAAATGTAGATGACGTGTGGGAGTCCCTGAGAGAGTGTTGGCTCTGCCAGAAACCTGTCCTGGTTCCAAAATTGATCACCACACCCACCAGCAGAAAAAAAAAACAAACCATGATCAGAGATCCAAAATATGAAGATGCCATTTCAATTTGGAAATTCCTACAGTCTCAGCCCACTGGAAGCCAGGAAAGTATTCTTATTTTTCGTTGCTGTACTCTTATTCCGCTCCAAAACTGTTGGCAGGCACCTGTGACTGGTCACTACTGGAAACAGGTTGGTGGCCCAACAGTTCTTTCTTACAATGCACTTGTTGGCCTGGTTTTCAATTTTTATATAACGTAGCTTCTAACTTCAAGATGGCAGTTTCGCCCCTTACTTTGAAAAGAAATTAGTCCCAAAATTATCCTTTTGGCTATTTTGTCTTTTTTCTTCATATAAGGGAATTTTATTTAGTAAATGAAACTTCCATTATATTTTTTTCTTTTAATGAGACAGAAAACACTCTGGCCTTAGTGAAGACAGATGCCATTTTGTCCACTGTAAAAGTTAGGAGTGCATGGAGGAAAAGCAGAGGACCTGAAAATGAGTTTAAGGACAGGCAGAAAGAGTGAATGCATGGAAACAGGCTACAGGAAATTTTGAGAAAAGAAATGCTATGAGGCCAAATAGGCTGATATGCAAAGTAAATGACAGATGGAAGGGCATGCAACAGAGTGAGACCTATAACTCTGGGGAAAAAGAATATGATTTTATTGAAAAGATAAACATTATCAGTAGGGAGTAGTGTGTTATTGACAACTTGAAATGACATGCAAATAGAAAGGGGAAAACATCTTCAAAAAGAAATCCCATTGAAGGACACTTCCTCCAGTATCTTATTTAACTGAAGATAATATAATGAATTTGGGGAATACAATAGGGGTTTTTTTTTGCCAACTGAATTAACGATATCACATATAGTATCTGATTTATACCAAAATGTGCGCACCTCTATTCTTAAGCTAGAAACACACTTTTCAGGTTTTCTAACTGCTTAGAAATCTGTCCATAAATCAATGGTTTATGTATCCTACCTAGGTCCCAAGATGGTAAGTGATCCACAGCTAGAGTCAAGGTATTCTTTCTCCCGAGTTTTAATTGTATTGTCCTGCAACTGCTAGCTTTAAGTCTACTACCGGGTTTCTAAGCCTTTCAAGCGGTAAAAAAACATCCAAAACCAAATGCAAACCCCTCTGGAAGGTAACTTTGCACATGTTGCAACTTTCTGACCACAGATTAACAACTAACCCAACATTACGAGTCCCGTGGAGCCAAGTGCAAATGTGCATTACTAGGATGCTCAGATATTTAAGGATAAACAGTTTGACCTTGTAGCCTCTACAGCAGAGTTTACAGCCATGTCATGATGCTGAGTGACACCACTCCACTGTCCCCGCTTCACCACACGTCTGCTGATACTGGATAGCCATTCACATCTGGCAATCAGATTATTCATAAAACTCTCAAATTTCTTTTACAACTTTTTCGCCCGCAAAATCACAATGGGCAGCTTAAAAGTCTTCCCCTATGAAGCCCGGGAAGGCTAAAGAAGGTCTACCGGCAAAGCTGAACTTGCTTTTATACAAATTCCGTGGTTTGGGGCGTAGCTACAACCCGCTAATCTTTGTTCAGAGTGGCATTTGTGTGCGGCCGGCTGTAGAGCAAAGCGGGGGCGCCTGGTCTCCGGCCCCCGCACAGCGGCCGCAGGAGATGAGCGGCTCCGATCCCGGCCCGGGGGGCTCAGTGCCCCGGCGAGCCCCAGCGCCCGGACCGCCCCACGCGTTAACGGCCGCGCCGCGGGCTCCAGGGAATGCACCGCCGTTCCTGTAAGCCCACACGCCTTTTCCCTGAGTTAAGGATAAATCCCGGAAACGGCGCCAGAGAACTCGGTGCCCAGCGGTGGGCGGGGAGCGGCAGGAGAGAGGCGGCGAGGACGTCAGTGCCGCTGCCCCGCGGGCACCCGGCGGATGGCGCAGCTCGGCTGCCCGTCCCGCTACCGCCGCTCCTGCCGCTCCGGCGCCCGCACCAGCCTCCCCTGTGACGACGACCGCCCGCCTCGCCTTCCCGCAGACTCCCCGAGCCCAGCCCCCCTGCTGCCCGCCCCGGCATGGGACTGCCGAGAGAGGAGCCCCAGCCCCCCGGAGAGGGCGAGCAGAAAGCGAGCTGTCCGCAGACTGGCAGCGATGGGGAGCCCGACGGCTGCCGGGAGGGTCGAAGAGAGCCCGGGCCCGAAAGCTCGACGGCGGACACCGCTCTGCGGACCCGCAGTGGGCTGCAGATCCGCGGGACCGGAGCTGTCGCCGGGCGAGGCGGTGTCCCGCCGGTGCACGGCCCCGCTCCGTCGGGAGCGGCGAAGTCCCTGCCGTGACTTACCGTCCCCAGCGAGGTGCGGGGCAGCGCCGGGCCGCGCATGGCTCCGCGGCCCGCTACATCCCCGTAGCAGGGTCCCTCACATCCAGAGGAAGCCGCCCCAGCCCTACCCAGCGCCGGCCGGAGCAGCGCGGAGAGTGACTACCCCGTCTCCAACTTCCTGGCAGCGGCAGCAGGAAAGAGAGCGGCGAGCGGGAGGCGGCCCGGAGTCGCGCCGAGCCCCGCCCGCCCTCCGCCGCGCGAGGACCGGCGTCGGCAGTATTCCTTAAAAACCCAGACGGGCAAGCTGAAAAAAAGCAACTGATGGTGCATGGAGTGGCTAAAGCTGCTAGAAAACACACGGGAAAGGAGTCAGAGCAGGTCTACTGATATCCTAAAGTTCTTGACGCAGGAGTGTTTCGCTCTTCAGCTGTACTTTTTTCCATGTGAAAATTAACCATGTATTTGTAAGAAAAAGACTTTTTGCATCTTAACTGCCTTATTTTTAAAGAAAGGCATTTTTCAGCCACGATCAGCATTTTTAGAGTCTATATGACCATCCTATAGTTTTCAATTTAAAACACACATTTCCTTGTACACTCCAATGAACCAGCTGTACAGATAGCGCAAATATAAGCAAAACCAACATGACATTTTGTGTAAGCCCCGCTTAATTTAATATATCCTCTTAGCATGTTTGAAAAACAAAAATACAGCTAGGAATGAGTGGCTAAATTATAAAGAACTCTGCTTCATTTGTTGCTCATTAAGACTTCCCCTTGCTTTCTGGAATTGTCTCTGTACTCCAGTAAAAGACATTAAATCAAGCTACTAAGCATTGTTTTGGAAGAATTTGCCCATTTCAGTACAAAATGGGTACAATTCACTCCGTGGACTGCCTGAATTACTGCAGACACCTTCACAGACTGTTCATACAATGTAGTTGCTTATCTGCTGTGTGGAAGCCAATGATGGCATGGGCACGGGAGAAAACAAGGAAGGCATTTTTCCACACTTTGACTTGGAACAGCTGTGGCTTTCCAGCTGCAAGTCCCGGGAGGAAAGGAAATAGCAGAATAATCTATTATCAGATTGCAGCCATCTCTGGGGATAGAGGTGGAAAAAATTTTGTCTCGTTCATTTCCTTGCCTCGAATGAGGGCAATACAAAGTTAGCCCCTAAAGGGAAAATTCTGGCACACATTCTGTGAAGGAGGAAATAATGTTTTTAATGAGCTGTTTCAGGTTTAGCACTTGCTGTCATGTCATGGAGCTTCAGCCTTCACAAAAAAAAAAAAAGAAAAAAATTAAGAAAAGGCAAAAAACAGCCCCGTTTCTTTAGAACCACATAAATGTCAGAAAAATCCCTGTGAACTTTCACATTTGACTCCTCCCAAGTTCGGGGAGGGACGTCTTACAGCACACTGCACGTTTGACATTTACATAATGTCAAACGCACCAATGCACATCCACTTCCCAGCTTTCACCAGAACTCCAGGTCCAGGCCTCCCTCCATCCCTGCTACCTCCCTGCAGCCTGCCAGGTGTCCAGGGCTTCCTAAGGTCCTGTGGCTACGGGCGAAGGCCTAGAGGGACTGAGCTCACCCTCCTGTCACACAGCCAGTGACTTGCAGGTCGTCTGACACCCCAACGGCTTTACTCTCAGCCTTCAGAGCTGTATTGGGTTTGCACAACCAGGTTTTAGTAGCGGAGGGACAGCAGGGGTGCCTTCTGTGAGAAGCTGCCAGAAACTTCTCAGTTGTCTGTCAGAGCCACTGCCAGCTGCTCCAAGACTGATGCACCGCTAGTCAAGTCCAAGCCCATCAGAAATGGTGGCAATGTCTCCGTGATAACATTTTTAGGAATGAAAAAAACTTAATTATTACATAGATGTAATTGCAACCAGAGAAGGGCAGAGTGAGAACATGTGAGAGGAACAACTTCGCAGACACCAAGGTGAGTGGAGACGAAGGAGAAGGTGCTCCAGGCACCAGAGCTGTGATTCCCCTGCAGTCATGATGAAGACCATGGAGGTCCATGGCGATGCAGAGATCCACTTGAAACCCATGGAGGAGCCCCATGCTGGAACAAGTGGATACTCGAAAGAAGACTTTGACTCCGTGGGAAGCCTGTGCTGGAGCAGGCTCCTGCCAGGGACCTGCAGACCCGTGGAGAAAGGAGCCCACACCGGAGCAGGTTCCCTAGTAAAACTTGTGACTCTCGGGACTCACGCTGGAGCAGGCTGTTCCTGAAGGAGTGCATGCACCCCGTGGAAGAGTAGGTCATGTTTTAAAAGCTCTGAAGAACTGTTGCCCGAGATAAACGTTCACCTTGGAGAAGACGGTGGGAGGGACCTGCTAGAGCAGGGGAAAGACCCCCTCTCTCCCAGAGCAGTGGCAGAAACGACGTGTGATGAACTAAACGTAATCTCAATTCCCTCTCCCTGCGCCGCTGAGGGGCGGAAGGGTCGGAAGAGGAAAGGTGCTTTTAAGATTTATTTTACTTCTCATTATCCTGCCCTGATTTTATTCAATTATTATCCCCAAGTTCAGCCTGCTTTGGCGGTGGCGGTAATCGATTTGTGATCTCCCCCCGTCCCTGTCTCAACCCGTGAACCTTTCGCTTTATTCTCTCTCCCCTGCCCACTTGCGGAAGGGAGCGGTAGAGTGGCACCGGTGGGCGCCTGGCAGCGGCCCAGCGCCATCCCACACCGTCCCGGAGCCCTTCCTCAGGCTCCGCGCGGAAAGGGCGGGAACAGCCGGGGAGCGGCGGCGGCGGCGACTGGACGGAGGGCAAGGAGGGGACGGAGCTAGGCGCGTGCGCGGCGCTCCTGGCGGCTCCTGCGCGCTTCCCCCCGCCGCGTCGCCGCGGCAACGGCGCGACCCGCGCGGGCTGTCATGGCGGCGCCCGGCGCGGCGGTGAGTAAAGGGCCCGAGGGCTCCGCACCCTCTCCGCCGCCCTCCGCTGAGACCCCCGCTTCTCTCCTTTCCCCCCGCAGGAGCAGTGCTGGCTCCGGGCGGCTCGGGACTTCGTTCTCCGGGCGCTTCCGGGGCCGTACGGGCAGGAGCCAGCAACGTTGGAGGCGGTGCTGCGATGCCTGCGGAGCGCGGGCGGCGGGACGCTGCCGCTCGGCTACAGGTGACAGCCGGGAGGAGGGGACGGGACGGCACGGGGCGAGGTGGGTTCCAATGCCCACGCGCGGCCCTCCCGGGAGCTCGGCGGGACTTGTTACTGCGCGATGCCCGCCTGGGTTGTCGGCTGTGGGAGGGATGTTGTCGAACAGGGGTAACCGCACGCGTTTCTTTGGCCTCGGCACGCCCCCGGCCGCCCTTGCGATGTGATTAAGCCCTGTATCCGCCTGTCTGCAGTAGGTAGAACGCGTAACCAAAGCGCGGCATCTCGCCGAGGGGAGCTGCCGCCCTGTACAGCGTTTGCACGGCAGCTTCCCGGTTGGACCCTTCTGGTCCGCACAGGAAGATGTTCCTGGGCACGGTCTGCCTACCTGTTGGCCAGCTGAGCTCAGCGTTCGAGTGTGCACTCTTAAAAAAGGGGAATCTAGGATAACATTGTCCATATTTTAGTTGATAAAAGGCTTTTGGGTGCTCACCATCATGAAAAACATGCAGCTTATTGAGAGATATCCATATTGGAAAGTTTGGCTTGTCTGGATCTGTTTCTTGTTCCAAATTCTGGGAGAATTAAAATCTCTGACATGCCCAGTTGAGGGAGAAAAGGTCAACTGGAATTGATTAGGTATTTGTGACTTTTAACTAATAATTATAAATGTAGGTGGTTAATCTTTCACACCAGCTAAACCTATCTCATTTAAGCCGTATTTTTTCCTGTGTATTTTATGACATTTAAACTAGACTTTGGTTTATATTCAGGAGAATCTATAAAGAAGAGTTGAAGGTACTTGGTATTTCTCTCCTGTGAGGCCTGTGGTCTGTTTGTGAGCAGTGTGCTACATTCTCAGCTACCCACCAAGTTCTGGAGCATGAGGAGAGAGTCTGTTTGCTTCTGTATGTGATAACCATGAGCCAGTGTCCTGCTGTAGTTCTGGTTTCTCTCAAAAAACACTCAGTACATTTGACAAAAACATGAGCAGCACTGTGCTTTTGTATGTCATAGGTGCCATATCATTCCTGGTGGTGCTCTGTTTCTGAAGATGGAGAAGTTTCAGCTAATGGAATTTTCAACTAATCCCCTGTTCATTTTCCTGCAAAATGCACAGCATAAGTACCTGCATAAATTTATGTCTTCTGATTAATTTTTCTATATCTGATTACTATTTATTGCTGATTCAGATCCATCACTGATCTGCACTAGTTTCCTGCTTTGAACTTTTGATCCCTGACTAATCAAGTGAAACTCCTCGAATTCACACCCGTTGAATTTGATTATGTTCTGCTACTGAGCAAGTGGATATTGTGAATAGAGCTCCAGTTTCACAACCTAAAAGTGTCAGTGAAGCTCACTGGAAACCAGTACCAAAATCAGGCTGGATAACAGTTTGTGTTGGCTCTTTCAGTGTTGATATTAGGGTTCTTTGCAAACTGAGTTCTTCACACATCCTGCTATGTTCTTGTGCTTTTTTTCTTGCTTTTTTTTTCCAGTTTCGTCTCCATCTCTGACCTACAGCATCAGCAGCACATACCATGCTGCAGCCACCTGAGCTGGAGTACTAATGAATTTAAGGAATGGTCTCATCAAGGACAAGGTGCTTTACCCATGCAGAACACTTTGCCAAGGACTTACTTGATCCTGGTTGGCTATTTAGCAGATGGAAGGCAAGAAAACAAAGAAAAGCTGGTAGATGGTTGCCTATACGTGAAGGACTGTACTGGGGTAATTCCATGTGAGGTATGTCCTCAATCTGACAGATTCTGTGCTTATTCCCACTTCTGGGGCAGTGTCACAAACCACCAGGGGCTTCAGGTGTTCTGCCAGAGTCTAGTGAAGGAAATAACATGTCTCTGTAACAGGCAGGGAAACAGCAAGCTCACATCCATTTCACAGAACATGTGAAATGTGCCATTGCTAGGAGAAGAAATACTGAATGTACTGATGTGAAAAAAAGAGACAGTTCTGTTAAATTCACCACAGTACAAGATGGCCTGGGAGACCTTCCCACTCTTTGCTGAATTCCAACTAGTGGAGCAGA